TGAACGCAAAGCAGGGTTGCGTACGACCCTGCATCTATCATGCACAGGGTACAAATGTGTGCGAGTTTCATCAGGTGATGTGAAGTTCTGCCGCCCCGGACCCCATTGCTGGAGTTGCACATTCTTAGTTGTTATGTACTCTTGCTCGAATTTAGTACTTTACCATCTCGTGAACACCCTCTTTACTATGAACACAGACTTTGCATTCACCAGATTTTCGACCAGGTTCAGCATCTGAGTGGAAAGGGAAAGGGTTTGCGAAATGGAGAACTTCTAACCATGCAAGTAGCTGTGCTTGAGTTAACGGACAAGTCAAAAATCTTTAGCAATCCATGTGATAACATACCTTTCAGGGTGTCCGGTTTTCCGGATGCTTAAAACTCAGTCTAACTCGAGCGTGAATTTTTTTATTTTTTTTTGGCAGGACATGGTTTCTTAATGGACTGTTCAAAAGTTGTCGTGATATTTCTTTTAGAAGTGTTAACCGGTGCTGCACCATTATATCTGATTTTGCCAGTCAATGTCATGCCGGGAGCTATGCAGGCCAAGGTCGGAGAATATCGAGTTTTGTCCCCCGTGCAGGGCGCGAACTGGACTGATGCAATCGCATTTAATTTTAAATGACTAGGATGGAGAGCCAATGATGATCAAAAATGAGCACAACCCTGTGTACTGTAGGGATTTCTGTCGCGGACGGTATTGGCTTTTTGATGTCCACAACATCACTTGCCTACAACGACCAACGTTGCATTGCACTAGGTGTGCCTGAACTTGACATGTGTTGGAGTGTAAGTCAGATCATGCAGGGTACAACCTGCGCTGACCGGACGTCCTCGGTGCAGCGGAAACTGTCCTGCTATGACAGGATTCCGCTTGATCCAGGGATGCACGTTCGATCCACAGCACTTTGATGCACAGAAATTGTCCCATCAAAACAGGATTCCGCTCGGTGCAAGGGCCTTGGGAAGACACATGAAACGTGATTTTTTCACATGTTAGGAAAAGTCACATGGAAAAGCCACATGCTTTCCTGGACATCCATTTCTTCACTGAAAATAGACTCACTTATGCATTTGAATCTGTCCTATGTGCTAATTCAATGTTGTTTTGTCTCCTACAAAAGAGAATGTGGTCGACCTTACTTGTCATTTACAAATGTTAGTGTCCCGGTGAATGCATGAGAGAAAGAGGGGCTGTTTGTGTGTGCATGAGTGTGTGTGTGTGTGTTTGTGTGTGTGGGTGTGTGGGTGTGTGGGTGTGTGGGGGTGTGTGTGGGTGTGTGCCGCCGAATTAGTCCTTTCGCTATCATTGCCTACGGCAATGGACAAGTTCAAGGTTCAACGTGTGTGTGTGTGTGTGTGTGTGTGTGTGTGTGTGTGTGTGTGTGTGTGTGTTTGTGTGTGTGTATGTGTGTGGGTGTGAGTGTGCATATGTCTGCTCGTGTGTGTTTGCATATGTCTGTTCGTGTGTGTCCATGTGTGTATGGGCAAGTGCGCACTGGTACTTGCATGTGGTGTACATGTGTACGTACGTAAGCTCAGTAGGCACGCCTATCTGCATGAGCGGAAACTTGTAGTCACTCATGACGTACCATAATTCCTGAATATAAGTGGCACCTTTTTACACTAAACTTCTTGGACGCAGAAGGGAGTGGCCTTATAATCGAGTATGATATCCTAGCAATGTGACTATTTTGAAACACACAGCCCGAACGCGAAAAGGGTAGAGTGACTTATAAACGAGTGCGACTTTATAAATTTCATGGAAAATATCCTATATGGTACCGGTAATCGTATTCCCAAAATCCGTACGCGATGATAATTCCTCACATCATGATCTCGTCACGTTTCCCTACAGGCTACTCTGTGTTCACCTGGCCGATGTTCCCGTTTGTCGGCATCACTATAACCGCAAACGACCCTCTTCTAGCAACGGTCAACGTGTCTTTGCCGACGGTTAACCCAGCGGCAAATCTGAGAGTGCAGATCGGTCAAGCTCACGGCGGCAGCAATCTATCGTCGATCGTCACGTCCGCCAGCACCGTAGCACTAAGAAATGTCACAGCAGGGGACTTCTACTTCCGTGTCGCATCGACAAGCAATTCCTCGGCTGCTTACTCTCAGAAAGTGTTCTTCCATATCTCACGTAAGTTATCAGTTGGTGCTTGAGATCTTTAAGGGAAGGTGAGGGGTGGGGGGAGGGGGGGGGGGGTGGTAGGTGATGTTCCAAGACCAAATCCATTGTCAACATTCTGCTGAGGGTTGCTTGTGTGTGTAGCATTATGGGTGCACGCAGCTTCGTGCTACCGCTCGAACTATACTGCTGTGTTTGATAGTGCTGTTGCTACACGCTCATGCTTTGCTTCTGCCTACGGTTGTGTGCACCGCGCGTCACGGTGACCATGTCGTCCAAAAAACATGGTGCATGCACGTGTGGTACTCTGTGCAACGTGGCAATCTACATGACATTGAACAAGACACTCAACGTGGCATTCATGTGTGGCGCTCACCCTCGATGCGGGCGGCATGCAACAGGGCATTCAACCTGACATTTATTTAACCCTTTACCATTTGTACATACAAATTTCGACCGCTCGCGTTTAAAGACGTCCATGCGCACAGCGCTGACCTGGTTCGCCGCAGAGAGCTGGGATATTCCCTACTGGTAGTGAAGATGTACGCGCAGAGGGTGCCGACAATTTTTTGTGTGTGCAATATAAAAAGGAATTCGGGTGGACACATTATAAAACTCGAATGTTGACACGCTGTGCTTAACATGCACACTCGTAATCACTCATATTCCATCCATGGATTTATCGTAATGTGTTTGTTTGTATATGGAAGCACAGTCACGAATTCTAGCACATTGCACTTACCTGTTTCTGGCTTATTTTGAGAATAAATGCTTCCCATTTACCACAGTAAGCACCTTCACGTAAATACAATCCATATGATTTATTTGTCAGATCTAGATAAGAAAAACTCCCGATAAGACAAACAAAGTTGTTCAGTGACTTCAAGTTCGTCCTTACGAGGTTTGACTGTGCATGTGTTGCCCTATGGCAAGAATAATGATGGGTTGCTAACTCCACTTACCCTGCCATGCATGGCAACTTTTATGTTTCTGTCTTTAATCCCCCCCCCCCTCCCTCCTTCACACACACACACACACACACACACACACACACACACACACACACACACACACACACACACACACACACACACACACACACACACACACACACACACACACACACACACACACACACACACACACACACACACACACACACACACACACACACACACACACACACACACACACACGTACGCACGCATGCACACACACACACACACACACACACACACACACACACACACACATTGTGTAACAGTTTTACACCTACTTTCACCACTCACACCTTATCACCTTGTGTCACACCTACTCTCATATATATAACCAGTATATTCAGTAATAAACGCTCTCTTCTTTCTTCGCTCAATGAAGAACTATTACATTGGTAGCAAGACGATGGATCTCCATCCCCTGTGGTCGTTCGTGGGCCTAGTTCTGGCCTCGGCTATCAGCTCTATCGTCGTCAGCATCTGGATCGTCAACCGTCTCCGGAAGGAAGCTCTACCCTCTACTCAGTCGTCACCCCAGTGTGTTCCTGAGTCTCGTGCTTCAGCTTCCCAGCCTGCACCGCGTGATCGCCCACACTTCAAGGAGCCGCCCGTGTTCACCGGAGATCCCACCACGTTTCGGGAATGGGCATTTGCCTTCGAGTTGGCCTTGGCTTCGTGGCGCTTCGCGGATCCTAAACGTGAAGCTGAGTTTGCAGCCAGTTATATCGCTGGAAATCCGCGTCTGTGGTTGATGACTTCCCTGGAAGCCGGCGCTGCATACCCAGACTGGTCGTCCTTGAAGAAGGCATTAGAGGCGGCTTACGGTGTGAAGTACGACCAAGAGAGAGCTCGGTGGAGTTTGTTCTCCCTCCCCCAGCGCGGCGCCTTAGGAGACTACATCGCAGAATTCTCGCGGCTCAGTTTTTTAATCACTGACCTGGATGGCCACTCTCGCGCAGTACTATTTGTCAGGGGCCTGGCCCCGGAGCTCAGGCGTGAAGTCATGAAGGAGCATCCTACAACCCTGCAGAAGGCGACAGAAGCAGCGCTCGCCGTATCGCAAGTGATGCCCTTCATTACGGTACGACAGCAGCAGGGGATCCTGGTACGTCGTCCACTGTCGGTTCCTGGTCCCCGTGCCAATCGCGAGGAAACGGAACGACGATGCTACATATGCCACCGACCTGGTCATCTGGCACGTCAATGCGACCCGAACCCAAACGCTGGACGCCAGTAAAAAGAGGGGTGCGATTACTGGCGTGTGAGAGAGCACCCAGGGTCACCGTGCCAGTCGCCAACAGGTTTAGTTGCCTGGAGACAGACGACGTGGAGACTGATGATGGCGACGACACCCTGGAGTCTCAAGGCCCACAGTGCGTGCGGAGCTACGTCAGCAACATTGCCCTGGATTCGCACGCGCGGGACCACGATCTCCTTGTTGTGAACGGAAAGGTGAACGGCCACCGAGCGACAATGTTAATCGACTGCGGGTCAACACACGATTTGATCTCGGAACGATTCGCAAGAAAACAAAAGATGAAAACGAAGATCGTGGAGGAGGTTCTAAAGGTGGCCTTGGCGGACGGATCAACCAGTTCGCGGCCGCTAGAGACCACCGACGCTCGCTTGGCCGTAGGAGGCTATGGCGATGACCAGCGCCTGACGGTCTTTCCCCTTGATCGATATGATGTGATCCTGGGAAAACCCTGGCTGACCCGGAATAACCCAGCTATCAACTACCGCACCAACGAGGTCAAACTGGGTGCCGAATCCCTAATCGCGGGTGAACCCACAGGCGACGCTGCTGTTCCCTCGGAGCTGATGTTCATCTCTGGCAAACAAGCGCGACATGCGCTACGGCAAGGCGCAGAGGGTTACCTGGCTTGGCAATCTTCCCCCGACGACAGTTCGTCACATGAGCCTCGGAAGGAGGAACCTCCGGACAAGCAGCGTGACTTCGATGAGCTGCTGCAAAGATTCTCGGACG